AGATACACAACCAGCTGGTTACCATCAAGAAAAGGTGTGTTAGAATGGAATGCTGCTAATTCTTGGGTCAAGTGATCAACATCCGATGGCCCTTTAGTGTGATGTTTATCTGGTATTCTTTCAAAAGATTGCATGCTGCAGATCTTACTTTTTAAATTTTCACTTTTCAAAATGGCTTTTTTTTCTAGCAGGGCACTTACTTTTAGAAATCCACACCATCTGAGGACTGTATTTACAATCTTTTATTTTCTTCTTGTAGATTTTCACAATCCTAAGAACACAATCTCAAATAATCGATCAATGTAGTGGGTAACTATCTCTGAACATGTTCTATCTTTCACTCACTTTCAAAAAATCAGCAGTTCTCTCTCTCTCGCACATGACTAATCTGTCAATCAAGTTGAAGCACGTGTGACCAGATGTGTAACACTATGTGTGTAATGCAAGTTCTACAGAGTCCGAACATTTACCTAATCACAGCACTTGATAAAAACTAGTGTTTAAACATTGACGTCATAAAATTGGTTTTCTTTACACTCTGGGTACATTTACATGTATATTATTTATGCCATACGGTTGACACTGGTGAAGAGGGATCTGTGTAAGTCAGAGTGACGTTTTCCTCAAGGTTAACATAACAAAGAGATGCTACCCAGGGCTGCTACTCTTTAAATGTATACCACCTTCCAGAGTCTGCAGTGGTACATTTTTGTCTAACAAGTGGGCATGTATCATCCAAGGTACATCAAAACCTCTCTCCAGCTGTCTGGGAGTACTGGAAGTGGAAATTTTACAAGTAAATCTTTAACATGACTTGTCTGAGAGAAAATTACCTTTCTGGCTGTCTACAAACACTAAAACAAATGACAATGAACTCAAACCTTTGCCAAGATGTAAATCTGAAGAAAGACCTCTCTTGTATAGAACTGGCATCAAATGTGTAGTAATGCATTTTAAATTTTGAGTGGACTACAAGTCAATTGTCTCGTTGAAGTAGTCTGAGTTTTCCAGTGGCTCACTTGTTAACTATATATGAGTTATTGACCAAGAATAAGGTCAAGATGGCTGGATATTGGCCAAGTTCTCTTTTGCGTGTTTATGGAAGGTCCTATAAAGTTACATGCCAAAATTTAGCCAGCTTGACCGAACAAGCTTGGTCAATGAAGGATTTATTATCTGGACAAAGAACACATTTTTCCTCCAGGACACAGGAGGTAATCCATCTTGCCCATTTGGGTAGCCAATCACAGTCCGGGGTTTGGTTCATCTTGCCTGCCCACAGAGCTAGCCATATAATAAAAGTCCTTTGTCTTGATGTAGTCAACAAGTCTAGTAAGTGTTATTCTTATCTTTTTTCTCCTTCAGGAAGGCAATGAAGAGTGGTTTGTTCTTGGTGAGGACCCTGCAGGTGTTGGTCCAGATGTCCCATCTAATGACGAAGAGATCTCTGTAAAGGGTAGCAATATCTCTGACACAAAGGTGGAGCAAGAAAAAGAAAGAGTCAAACAGGTTGGTCTTATCACAAGCTATGTAAAGTTCTGTATGTACATGTACATGTGGCAGTACACTAATGGTTATTTTAAATAACAAACCATGACGATCATTACTACAGTTGACTACACAGCATATTTACCTATTAATTATTAATAACTAATAATAAGATTTAGAATATAATTTGTGCACAGCTTTTCAAGGAAAACTGCAGTTTGGATGACTTGACTGACAGTCAGTACTAGATAGTCTGTTTGTACCAGAAATTTGTATGGACGTCATGACATGACATGACATGACAGAGCCTATACATAGGTTTCATTAATTTTTTCAGCAGGGAGGTTATTAGTGTTCGCAGGCAGGCAACACTTTTTGAATTGAAATTCTTTTTAAGAAAAACTCTCCCCCAGAAATTGACAGGGCATGTCTCTGAAACTAGATGCAAATGTCCCAAAGATACTTTAGAGAAGTAATGAAGAGATGTTGTACTTGCAAGCCATGCATGAAAAACAAAGATATTGTAAGGTTGAATTTTTGACCTAAGTGTCTCCTACTTTGCCACCCTGATTGTGTTTTAACTGTTTAGTATGAACCTTTTTTGATTGTATTTCTTTAGTATTTACCCCAAAGTGTAGTTTACTTGAGAAGATACAAAATAAATTGGATATCCAGGGACCAGGGTGAATCATTGAGTTAACAGCTCACCTGGAGGGCCAGCTTGAATTTTTTTTTTTTGCACCCTGTATAATTGGCACTTTCTTGGATGTTAATCTAGAAAGAAACCTTGTGAGTTGGCAAAAGGGAGATGGTTATTTTTGTTGAATATCTGGAATGATGCATTGTTTTATCTGCCATTTATTTCCTAGAGATATTCCCCAGTCAATTTTCCTCAAAAGAAAAGAAAAAATAACTACTGACTTGATGTTGAAAGGTCTTTGTCTCAGATATACATGTACATTATTTTTTGTTTTGGTTCCCAGCAGTTGTCTCCATATTCAGAGCAGTGGTATGAGTTAGATCAACTCAAGGCAAGTGTAAGGTCTTTAAGTCAAGCTGCAGGCTTGCCACATTCGCCGCTGCCACAAAATGAGGACAGTGAAACATTAGCTAGTGGTTTGAGCAGTGGTTCGGTGAGTGTTGAAGCTCTTGATGAGATTGGACTAGAGGAGACTGGTGTAATGCTGCAAGGAGAAACAGCTCTGACTGGTAGGCTCTCTTTTGTTACATTGAATAACAACTGCAATATTATTCCTAATAATTATAACTAATCCAGGTTGAAGTGTCTGCTTATGGCCCAAAGTGTGCCTACTGGGGATTTTCCCTATAGTGGAGGCTCAACTGTAATTTCAAGTTGATGATTAACTACTAAACAATGCACAATATTCTGTAACTAAGTACTACAGTACTCTGTAACTATAAAGATCACCATATAAAGCAGAGGTAAAGCAGAGGTAAACCACTCACTGATGTGATGGCCAGTATGGCAATCAAAGGATAAATGTAAACAAAGTATGCTTGAATTCCTAATTACATGTAATCCTTGCTTTCAACTCAGTGGTTAACTAATCTCAGAGTCTTAAGTTTTGAAATAGCTTCTGACTGTAAATTATCATTTATCAAGCTGACATTTTCATTCAGTCTGACAAGACTACTGAGGCTTATTTCACTTGCCCACTGGCCTCACTTGCCCAAGAGCAAAATTTACTTGCCTCAGGCAATCGGACCTGGATTTTTTCCTGCCCTGTAAATGTTACATCAAAAATGTCCTTTACTCAATTTTCTATTTCATCCACCTGCCTTCCCATCTACTACCCCAGATAAACCTTGCAGTGAGAACTTAAGAATGGAGGCATAGTTTTCTAAAACACTTCACCATAATTAAAGATATGTGGGTCATCGACCAAACTTGGGGTTAAGATCAAGGTTGTCACAAAGTTTTGAAGAAGGCAGCTTTATTGTTGGAGTAGGCAGCTGATTTGGCACATTTTTCTAAAGAATCAGACAAATACATGTCATTCAACAGTGCAGCTCAGCAGAGTAGCTGATGTAGATGGTGATTTTTTTGGCCTGTCAAGTACTTTTGACAGCCCTGTTAAGATAACTGGATATATATATTGGCCAAGTTCTTTTAGTTTTGAGTATGTAATATGAACCAAGACACAGTGTAGTCAAGGTTCATAAACAGGCCCACAAAAATATCTGGAAATCTTGACCAAACCAGTCAGGTCATAAAGAACACCATTTTGTTGCAGGATGCAGCAAGCAATCCTGAGCAGGCTAGATAGCACCATTTGGCCTGCTTGATTAGCCAATCAAAGTGTAGGATTTGATTCATCTTGCCCACTTGTGGAGCAAGCCATATAATGAATACAATAGTTATTGATTGGAAATCCGTTGTCTAAATCTTTTTTTTCCCTTTCACAAAATCATTTTGTTTAGTGTTGTCCTGTTTATGGAGCAATGTTACCAATCATTTCTCTGCTGTTGTAGGATCTGTGATGGTGGACAGGGCCCAGGAAGCTGATGCCATGGTAGAGCAGGTACAAGACGATGATCCAGGTGATAGTGGCACTTCCTTTAGCATGGATGGTTCCGGTGCAGATGACAAAGAACTAAGAAATCAGTGGTTCCCCTTGAGGCCTAGTGCTGTAGGAGAAGATGATGAAGACACCAGCCAGGTGGCATACACTGCGATTGCACCTGCTCAGCAATCACGCAGTGATCGACTGCAGGGTGTCCCACATGCTTGGTCCGATGACGATGCCAAGCAGACACCTCCAGAGAGGTCACAACCTGATGGAAGAGATGGACCAGATCTCAAGCGACCACCTTGGATGTCTAGCACAACCATGAACACAAAACAGGCAGCCGCACCTCCTCCTCCTCCTCTTTCTTCTCCTCCTCAGAAACTTCCTCAGTCCAATGGCACACCTGAAAGTAGAGACAGTGGAAGTGAGACATCTGTACTGTCACAGCCGCAGAATGACATTGGTAATGTCACGCCGTTGGACATTATAACCAGGAGTGTACCTTCTGTTCCAAAAGGTGCAAGTCTCATCAGTGAGTTAAAGCACAGACATGCCCCTCAGTTGAACAGTGATAGTGATACTGAAAGCCCAGTGTCTAAGCTGCTCGGCCCAAACTTCCGTGCAGTTCAACAAGTTTTGGATAGACTGAAGCAAGACAGGCTGACTGACAGTGTCAGCGATGACGCAGACATATCAGCCTCTGAGCAACAGTCTTTAAGAGAGGAAAGTCTACAATCCTTGACAAGTACTGGCTCAAGAGGTCATGGAAAAGAATGGATGACTCATCAACCGATTAAAACACGGCCTTCTACTGATGCTGCAGCACGCAGTTATGAGATGCTTTCGTCGAGACCACCTGGAATACTTCATTTATCTCACACTCAGATGCAGCAAGGTGATATGCATTTAGGGGATCAAAGTCGCCAAAGTGACACCTCCAATAAAGTATTAGAACCTGAACGTGCATCAAGCTGGACAAGTGCAAGGTTATCTTATCGTGATCCACCTGAAATGACTCCTACTGAAACTACACCACCGTCTGGCAAGCAAGCCGCTGTAAAGTCCTCACAAGACCAAAGTTCACCCTGCTCTACACTAAGCAGTATTACTTCTGGTAACAGCGGTGAGAAATTCTCCCAACGCGACTCTGCTCACACCGTTCCTCCACCGCTTTTACAGACATCTTATAAATATTCAACAGAGCAACATCCTCAAAGCTCTGTAGATATCAGCCTCAGAAGTTCACGAATGGCTTGGGGAGAAAGATCTGTTTCAGGTAGAAACATAAAGGAATTTGTTCAGCATAAAGATACACTTGCTAACACAGGACTTCCATCAAGCGCACGTTCATCAAAAGATCAACTGCACGAATTAACTCCTCGGAACTCCATAGGAAGTCGTTTTCTACCTACCAAAACAGCTTGGCCAGAAAGCAAATTATCCATGAGTTCCACAGCAAGAGAGCTCTCTGCCGATGAGCCCAATGTTGAGGTGTCTGGTGTTGTCCCGGCAGATGCGTTGTTGCTTCCTGGTCATACCAGTTCGGATCTCGTTCACCGTACAGAGCTTACTCCAAAGGGTGCAGCTACACATTCCAGTCTAGTAGAGAAATCTAATGATTCAAACAGAATAGGGAGACAGCATGCAGAACCTTTGCAGCAAGAAAGTGATAGCAATAGGAGTGCGTCATCAGATAACACAGATGACTTGTTGACCTATGAACCTGTTTTTGAAGGAGATCGTCAGTATCTGCGAATGCAAAGGGAAACAAAGCGTTCTGGCTCTAAACACAGACAATCTGATACAGGGGACTCTCATGTAAACAGATTACCCGTGAGGGTGGCTAGAGATGCAGAAACTGTTACAAGGGTGTCTGGCCAGGAACAACCACCTTCCATCCTACGGGGCCACGAAGGCCTCCAAGGAACCCCAATAGACCTGAATGACAGTCACATCAAGGCCTTACACTGGTCCCTTGGTGCAGGAACTATTTCTCCCATCTCGTTTCCTAGCGCTGCTCAGCTCGATTCACAACTGGGAAAGTCATCAACTCCTTTGGGTCCAGCAAGTGAACATTCCAGTGTTCATGAAGATGGTGTCCTTCAGGAGCAAAGCCTTGAGGAAGACAACTACACAGCGCCAAGCGAGGATCGAGATAGGGCCCCATTAAAACAACGTGAGAGTCATTCCACTACTGAAGTCTCCTCGTCAGATGAGATTTACAGGCCAGTTTTATACAGGGATGTTTCAGGAAATAAGGAAAATCAGCCAGATGAGAGTGCTTTCAAAACAACGTCGTATGGAATTTATGACATTCGCAGATCCTCAGGCCCAGGTAGCACAAACAGACGTCGGAAGGCCCTGGGTCTGGAACCCAATCCAACAAGGGAGGCTGTCAGTCAGGAGGATAATGGATTAGTGTACATTTCAGGGAGCTCGACACCAGGTAGTTTGCAAGATGTTAGAGGAAGGTACTTGGTGAGAGAAGACGATCCTGCTAGAAGGACTACTGACTATCGAGAGGAACAACCAGACCAAGAGTACTACAAAGAAAGGCATGAGAGGAGGGAAGAGCTTAGGAAGCCTAGAACTAAGGGCTATGAACCAGAAAAACAGGCAAAGGTACTTAGTAACAGGCAGGCTCGAGAGGTGCTGGCAGAAGGAGACCTTCCTGATCCGTACCGAGATGAATACCAGTCACGCGAGAGCAGGAGGCCTGATCGTTCACACCAACGTCAAGTGCGCAGTTCACCGGAGCAAGGAGGAGGACCACTGCATCATAGGTCAGACAGGTCAAGGCAGCTCCCTGACAAGTATATGGACAGAACTGACCCAAATGGAACCAGCCATTTTTCAAGTCGCAGTAAAAGATCTGCCAGTTCTGGAAAATCAAAGTCAAGGTACATGGACGATGACCTAACCTCTTTATCCCAGCAAGCACGGGTAGAGAAAACAACGGCAAGTAGAAAACATCATTCAGAGACATCAGGGGCCAAGACTGGCCATTCTTCTCGTGATAAAAGTGATTTCCGTGGCTCTAATACCAGTAGATTAGATGCCAACATTTCAAAGTTGTCCTCACTAATCTCAAGGTCACTTGACGAAAGTATTTCATCGTCGTCTCAGACATCAACAACGTCTGCTTTGAGAAGACCACCTTCAAAGGGCAAAAGAGTCAAGATGTCTTCGTCAACTAGTGAAACATCAGATGTTTCCGAGTTCTTCAATTATGCTTTCTTCGAGCCTCGATTCCGCCAATCCATTGGAAGAAAGTTGCGACTGAGAGAGTTGCTGAGATCTGTTAAATCGCGGGACATCTCTCCTATAGTCAGAAGGTCACGGGACAGTACATCATCAGAGTCTACTTCAGCTGTGTCAAGCAATGATGGAGGAAGAGAAGAAAGAGAATCAGTACCTAGCGTAGGGAGGGAACCATCACCTGCATCAACGGAACCTCGACAGTTGGACGCAGTATCTGAAAAGCAATTTTTTACCACAACACCTGCAGCTGGTCCAAAGTGTACTTGTTCACGGAAAGTTGTCACACAGGCGACTTCGTCAGGGGTAACGCAATACAGGAGACAGGACCATAGTGATAGGGAGGTAGGAATGCTGCGGAAACGTGATGTTGGTGTGAACTTTCCCACACCAGCTGTCACCAGACATCGATCTTCCAGCTCAGATGAGGCGCCTCGTGCACAAATGGAAGACGCCAGTACGCAGACAGACGAGGTCTCTAGTGCACGAAAAGTGAACAGAAAGATTGATTCCGAACCTGAAAAATCACGACCTAAACCAGTGAAGAGTAAAAGAGATATCGAGGAACATGGGGTTATTTCCCAACCGTCACCAAAGAAATCCGACTACCCTTATATCGTGGATCAGAGAGAGAAGCGTAGACCCAAGGAGCGACTGATAGCAAGTCAAAACTCACCGGATCACAGCGTCAAAACAAACAGTGACTCAAGAAACAGGACACAAGAACCTGCTTGGTTTTATCCTATGACAATACAACCACAGGCTGAACGAAGAACTGCCACTCCGCTGAATACCCAAAGTCGCACCAGGGACGAATTACGAGTGGACGTGTTTGATTCTGTCGTTAACTCGTCCAGCTCTCTGCGGAAGCTTACTCTTCAAGAAGCCTTTCTGTACGCAAGGCCTCAATTTGTGAAGCGCTCACAGGAGAGAGTTGCAAGAATAGAGCAGGCTGCACGAGAGAAAGAGAGGCGTATAATGATTGCAGAGGCCACTAGAGAAGAAAAAAGAAAAGAGGCTGCTGAGATGCGAATAAAAATATCTCCTGCTTCACCCACGGTCAAGACTCGTGTGAAAAGTGGTAAGTGTCTGCAAAAATAGAACCATAGTAGGGTTTCAAGAAGAGCTTGCATAGCGCAAATTAACCGGCTGTGGGAATGATTTTGCCTGCC